TGGCCTGGTTCATTACCCAGTACCAAATCCAATGTGGCCTCGCCTCTTGTTGGCCTATCTACATACTGTGTCAGGAAACCCTCCTGCACACATTGGACAAAAACTGACCCATCTGAAGTACTCGAACTATAGCGTTTCCAGTCAATATTTGGAAAGTTAAAGTCCCCCATAACAACTACCCTGTTACTTTCGCTCCTATCCAGAATCATCTTTGCAATCTTTTCCTCTACATCTCTGGAACTTTTCGGAGGCCTATAGAAAACTCCCAACAGGGTGACCTCTCCTTTCCTGGTTCTAACCTCAGCCCATACTACCTCAGTAGACGAGTTGTCATCAAACGTCCTTTCTGCCACGGTAATACTGTCCTTGACTAACAATGCCACACCTCCCCCTCTTTTACCATCTTCCCTGATCTTACTGAAACATCTAAACCCCGGAACCTGCAACAACCATTCCTGTCCCTGCTGTATCCATGTCTCCGAAATGGCTACAACATCGAAGTCCCAGGTACCAACCCATGCTGCAAGTTCACCCACCTTATTCCGGATGCTCCTGGCATTGAAGTAGACACACTTCAAACCACCTTCCTGCCTGCCGGTACACTCCTGCGACCTTGAAACCTTATTTATGACCTCACTACTCTCAACCTCCTGTACACTGGAGCTACAATTCAGGTTCCCACCCCTCTGTTGAATTAGTTTAAACCCTCCCGAAGAGTATTAGCAAATTTCCCCCCCAGGATATTGGTACCCCTCTGGTTCAGGTGTAGACCATCCCGTTTGTAGAGGTCCCACCTACCCCAGAATGAGCCCCAATTATCCAGGTATCTGAATCCCTCCCTCCTGCACCATCCCTGTAGCCACGTGTTCAACTGCTCTCTCTCTCTATTCCTCGCCTCGCTAGCACGTGGCACGGGTAACAAACCAGAGATAACAACTCTGTTTGTTCTAGCTCTAAGCTTCCACCCTAGCTCCTTGAATTTCTGCCTTACGTCCCCATCCCTTTTCCTACCTATGTCGTTGGTGCCTATGTGGACCACGACTTGGGGCTGCTCCCCCTCCCCTTTAAGGATCCCGAAAACACGATCTGAGACATCACGGACCCTGGCACCTGGGAGGCAACACACCAACCGCGAGTCTCTCTCGTTCCCACAGAATCTCCTATCTGTCCCCCTAACTATGGAGTCCCCAATGACTAATGCTCTCCTCCTCTCCCCGCTTCCCTTCTGAGCAACAGGGACAGACTCTGGGCCAGAGACCTGTACCCCATGGCTTACCCCTGGTAAGTCGTCCCCCGCAACAGTATCCAAAACAGTATACTTGTTTTTGAGGGGAATGGCCACAGGGGATCCCTGCACTGTCTGCCTGTTCCCTTTCCGTCCCCTGACTGTAACCCGTCTACTTTTTTCCTGTACCTGAGGTGTGACTACCTCCCCGTAACTCCTCTCAATTACCCCCTCAGCCTCCCGAATGATCCGAAGTTCATCCAGCTCCAGCTCCAGTTCCCAAACACGGTTTCCGAGGAGCTGGAGTTGGGTGCACTTCCCGCAGATGAAGTCAGTGGGGACACTAGTGGTGACCCTTACCTCCCACATTCTACAGGAGGAGCATACAACTGCCCTAACATCCATTCCCACTGTTCTGAATTCCCAAACAGACAAATTTAAAAAAAAAAAAAATACCAGTAGCCTTACCAAATCAGCGCTCAGAACCTTTTTTTTTGGTTAGAGGAGGAGGATGGGTGGGAGACACTACCTAGGTAGTGTTTCGGGTAAAGCAACCGCCCAAATATATTACCTCACTTAGTCCAAAAATGGAGTCACGCGAGGTAAGACTTTTATAATCGAAAAGCTCAGTTTCCCACGCTGCCCTCGTGCTTCCTCCCGGACTCCCGCCACTGAAACAACTGAACGTTTCTCTTCTTTCATGATCTGCACAATAAGGTCAGAAATTTTGGATGCTAATAATGCGCGTGGAGTCTTCGTGATTGATTTTAAATTGTGCGTGACTTGTACGGCATTGCATCTTTTAATTTTTCAAAGTTTGTAAGTACTCTTGAGTAATTTGCATTCAGATTTTGATATTGTATCTAACTCTGCTATTGTGCCCTTTTTTGACTATAAAACTGGAAAAATGACCTTGGAAACTCTTTGTTAACCTGCCAGTTGAAAGATTTTCCACCAAGTTTCCTATTAGGAAGGAGAAGCAGGGTTTACTTTTTTTCCCCTGAAACTGCTTGTCTCTGTTCAAAAGTTTAATCCAGGGGCTTTAAAATTAGCTAAACACTTTACTGTGGAATAGCCAAGAGGAAGTGAGTTCATTTGAATTTGTGGCTATGTTTTTAAATTATGCCCCATTTACCACAATACATTGCGGGGGGGGGAAGCCTTTCATGCCTGTGCCTGCCTTAATCATCCATGCGCTATCAGTAATTTTTCATTTTAATAACACTTTAATGTAAAATGATTTGAGCATATACTGTTCTCCTCTCAAATCATAAACTACTTCATTCTGAAAAAGCATTCATTTTAATTTTATTAACCTGTATTACATCACAACAAAAATAGACAGTGAGAGAGAAACTCAGGACGTCAGGCAGCACCTGTTGAGAGAAAAGCATAGTTAATATTTCAAATCCAGTTACCCTTAACATTAACTCTTTTTTTCTTCCTAGAAATGTTGCCAGACCTTCTCCAGCACTTTCTGCTTTTCATTCGGATTTCTAGCATCCACAGTTTTGTTTTATATTTGTACTACATTGCACTTCAGTGAAATATAAATACAAGATATTCTTACAAACTAACTTTATCTAAATGGGTGTTGTGTATTGACTGACCAGTAATTTTCATGCAAGTATATTGTATCTAATTTTGCAGCTTTATTAGGTTCTCTGTCAAGTGGATTACCAAACGCAGTGGGTGCAGTTGGAAGTGGTCCGCAAGGTACATCCACCAATTCAAACCCTATCGATCCCAGCTCAATGCAGAGAGCGTATGCCGCACTTGGACTGCCCTATGGTAATCAGCCACAAGCGCAGCCGCAGCCTCAGGTACAAGGCCAACAGCCAACACAGCCTCAAGTCCACCAGTCAATGAGGCCTAATCCATTGGGTAAGAACGGTGATGGATTGTCAGTTGCATGGCTTCACCAAAAGGGCAAAATTGAGAGTATGTGAAAGCATATTTTTCCTCAGTTATACTAGGGTCTGCAACACTTTGGTCATATCTTCTGACGATTTTACTTTAATGGGGATACCTTGTAATATACAGTGAGAAACTGGTTTGTTTCTCCATTTTTAAATTGCTCTCTATCCTCGTTCTACATATACCAAAAACTGGCACAGTGCACTCTTTTTATTCATTCATAGGATATGGACCTTGCTGGCAAGGCCTGCTATTATTATCATTCCCCAGATCCCTTTGAGAAGTAATGGTAAGCCATCTCCTTGAATCATTGAAGTCCATGTGGGAAGATACTTCTATAGTACTGTTAAGTAAGCAGTTCCAGAAATTTGACCCAGGCACAGCTGATTTGTATTTCTGAATGTGAGAGACTTGGGGGAGAATTTACAGCTGTTGGTACTTCTATGCGTTTGCTACACTTGTTCTAGGTTGCAGTTGTTTTAGATTTTGAAAGTGCTGTTGAAGGAGTGTTCACGAATTGCTGCATTGCACCTTTTACGTGGTATACATTCCTGCGACTGAGTGCTGTTGAAGAATTAGATGCTGGTCAAGACGATTGCTTTGTCTTCTAGATGATACGTGATAGAAGTCATGTGCTTGGTAGGCATTGTTGAATAAGCTTGACCAGTTACTTCAATACATCTTTGAGATGCTACACATGCTGAACCAGTAGTGAATGGATTGCCAATCAAGCAAGATGCTGTGTCCGGGATGGTGTTGAGCTTGAGTGCTGTTGCGGCTGTACTCATCCAGGCGAGTGGGCGATATTCCATCATGCTTGTCAGTTGTGCCTTATAAATTGTAGAAAGATTTTGGGGGAGTCAGGAAGTGAGTTACTCATTCCAGAATTCCTAATCTGGTCTTGTAGCTGCATTATTTATATGGCTTGACCAGTTCTGTTTCCGATCAATGGTTAAATCCTATCTCCACTCCACCCACCCACCCCACCCCCAAAAAAATATAAACTTATTTGGGGGGTGTGGGTGTTGCTGGCAGTCCAGCATTTATTGCTCAACCCTAGTTGCCCTTGAGAAGGTGGTTGTGAGCTGCCTTCTTGAACTGTAACAATCCACCTGCTGTGAGTTGACCCACAATGCTATAAGGGAGGGAATTCCAGGATTTTGACATAGCAGTGGTGAAGGAATGGCGATATATTCCACGTCAGGGTGGCGAGTAGTTTGAAGAGGAAATTGATGGTGGCGGTGTTCCCATGTATCTGCTGACCATGTCTTCCTAGCTGGAAGTGGTCATGGGTTTAGAAGGTGCTGTCTAAGGATCTTTGATGAATTTCTACAGTGCATCTTGCGAATAGTACACACTACTATTGAGTATCAGGGATGGAGGGATTGGATTCGTGTCGATGTGGTGCCAATCAAGCAGGCTGTTTAGTCCTGGATGGTGTCAAGTCTCTTGAGTGTTGTTGGAGCTGCACCCACCCAGGCAAGTGGGGAGTTTTCCATCACAATCCTGATTTGTGCTTTATAGATGGTGGACAGGCTTTGGAGGGAGTCAGGAGGTAGTTACTCGCTACAGTATTCCTAGCCTTTCACCTGCTGTTGTAGCCACTGTGTTTATGTGGCAAGTCCAGTTGAGTTTCTGGTCAATGGTAACCCCCCCCAGGATGTTGCTAATAGGGAGTCAGTGATGGTAACACCATCGAATGTCCATGTTTTGAGCCAAGGCTGTAATGAGGTAGGGAGCTGAGTAGTCCTAGCGGAACCCAAACCAGGCATCACTGAGCAGGTTATTGTTGAGCAGGTGCTGCTTGATAGCACTATTGATGCACCTTCCATCACTATACCTTCCATGATCGAGAGTAGACTGATGAGGCAGCAATTGACCGAGTTGGATTTGTACTGCTTCTTATGTACAGCATATACCTGGCAATTTTCCACATTGTCAGGTGTATGCCAGTGTTGTAAGTATCCTGAAAGAGCTTGGCTGGAGGAGCAGCAAGTTCTGGAACACTCCTTCAGTACTATTGCTGGAAAATTGTCGGGGCCCATAGCCTTTGCAGTATCCACTGTCTTCAACTTTGTGTTGACATCAGATGGGGTGAATCGAATTGGCTGAAGACTGGCATCTATAATGTTGGAGACTGCTGGAGGAGGCCGAGATGGATCATCCACTTGATATTTCTGGTTGAAGATTTCTGAATTCTTCAGCCTTACCTTTTGCACTGATGCGCTAGGCTCTTCCAAAATTGAGGATTGGGATATTTGTGGAGTGTCCTTGTCTAATGATTTGTTTAATTGTCCACCACTATTCAAGACTGGACTACAGAGCTTAGATCTAGTCTGTTGGTTGCGGAATCACTTAGCTCTGTCTATCACTTGCTGCTTATGCTGTTTGGCATGCACATAGTCCTGTTTTGTAGCTCCACCAGGTTGACAGCTCATCTTCAGGTGTGCCTGGTGCTGTTTCTGGCATGCCCTCTTGCATTCTCCATTGAACCAGGGTTGATCCCTGGCTGGATGGTAATGGTTGAGTGAGGATATGCTGGGCCATGAGATTGCACATTGTGCTGGAGTATGATTCTGCTGCTGTTGATCGCTCACAGTGCCTCATGTGTGTCCAGTCTTGAGTTGCTAGATCTGTTCCAAATCTGTCCCATTTAGCGTGGTGATAGTACCACACAACACGATGGAGGGTATTCTCAATGTGAAGGCGGGACTCTGTCTCCACAAGGACTGTGCAGTGGTCTCTCTTATTGATGCTGTCATGGACAGATGCATCTGTGGCCAGCAGATTGGTTGGGAGAGGTCAAGTATACTTTGGCCTTTTGTTGATTCCCTCAACACCTGCTGCAGACCCAGTCTAGCAGCTATGTCCTTTAAAACCCAACCAGCTTGATCTGTAGTACTGCTCTGAGCTAGTCTTCCAGCATACGTTCTGCGCCTTACCACCGTCTGTGCTTCCTTCAAGTGTTGTTCAACATGGAAGAGTATTGATTCATCACCCAAAGGATGGTATGTGGTAATCAGCTGAGGAGTCCAGTGCATCTCTCTCCCAACTGTATACAACTGTGCCTGACACTTCTGCAGCACAGATGTTGTTTGCAACTTAGCAGCCAAAATCTAAAAGTTATCCAGCTGTTGCTGCATGCAGGAAAAGATTACCTCGTTTTCTGAGGCATGTGGATGGAACTGATTTTATAATGGAGGAAAGATTATCGTGCTTGTCAACACTGGCTCAATCCTTGCCAGTCTACCACTTGCAGATGCATCTTTTCATAACAGTACAGCAAAATCTGGGCATCACTTTGAGGATACTTCTATCATGATTTGTGGAATAAGCTAAATTCAGAATACATCAACAAGCTCAACACTATGCAACCATTTGGTGCTTTGGACCATTAGCAACAGCAGACTTAATGTTTAGTGCAATCGATAACGTCATGACATAGGATATCCCTCACTCTACCCTTACAGTCAAGTCTGGGGTCCAACGCTGACTGTAGGATAACATGTCTGAGGCAACACCATATAGATTGAAAATGAGTTATCAGCCTGGTAAAGCTTCAGCATGGAACTACGTGCATGTTAAACAGCAGAATCCATATGCTATTAAAAAAAGCCATGTAAGCCAATTATAACAGATCTGATTTAAAAACTCATGGAGACTCAACAGTCACGAATAGTGGTGGAGAATTAAACGCTGAATTGGAAGAGGAGGCTCCACAAATATCCCTATCTCTATCCTAATGCAGCAGACCCCAGCAACTGAATGCAACAGGCAAAGCTTAAGCACATGCAACCAGAAGTGCTAAGTGGATGTTCCGTTTCTGCCTTCTCCTGAGGTCTCCGTCTTCACAGATGTCAATTTTCAGTCAATTCAGTTGACTCAATGGTATCAAGAAATAAAAAAGACTTGCATTTATACAAAGTTTGACAGAATTAGGAGACATCTCAAAATGCATTTCGACCAATGTAGTGCTTTTGAAATACAGTTACTGTTGTAAGGTAGGGAACACAGCATACAACTTGCACATAGCAAGATGCAGTGACCTGTTTGAGGGATAAATATTAGCCAGGACATTAAGGATAACTGCATACCTCATTCAAAATAGTGCCTATATATATATGTACCCAAATAGGCAAATGGATCCTTGGTTTAATATCGCATTTGGCAAAACGGTGCATTTGACCGTGGAATACCCCCTTAGGCCTACATTGAAGTGTCAGCATTTTTTATGTGCTTAAACCCTGGCCTTGGACTTGTACCTGGAATCTTGTGAGTTGGGTAAGTGTGTTACCACTTGAGCCATGATCTAAGTATACTGGAACATCCAAGTCTATGAGCCCTGATAACGTCCTGGCTGTTCCAGTGAAGACTTGAGCTACAGAGCCAGTTGTGCCTCTGATCAATTCAGCCATGATGCTCGCCCCTCCCTGACAACTTAGAAAATTGCGATATATACCTTATCTAAAAATGAAAATGATGCATTCAAACTCATTACTGCCCCATCATTGTACTTTCAATCAAATTGATGGTAGAGATCATAGGCAGAGGTATTAAGCAGCATCTGATCACCAATAATTTGCTCATGAATGCTTGTTTTTGGGTTCTTTAAGGGCAACTCATTTCCAGATCAAATTCAAATCTTGGCTCAAACATGAATAAAAGACCAGAATTCTAGAGGTGTCATGAGATTGACTGCCCTTGATATCAAAACAGCATTTGACAGAATTAGGTATCAAAAGGAGCTGTAGGAGAATCAAAGTCAGGGAATTGAAGAAGATTCTCCACTGGTTAGAGTCAGCGGAAGATGGTTGTGCTTTTATGATGCTAATTATCATACCCTAAAGGCGTCGCTATACGAGTTTCAGGGTCGTGCCCTAGATCAGACATCTTCAGCTGTTTCATCAATGTCCTTCACTCCGTCATAAGGTCATAATTGAGAATGTTTGCTGATGATTAGACCATGTTCTGTGCCATTTGCAACTTTTCTGGCACTGAAACAGTCAGTTTCCAAATGCAGCAAGACCTGGACAGCACTCCGACTTGGACCCATGTTGTGATGGAATAGTTTCTGCTTGCTGGATGAGTGTAGCTCCAGCAATAATAGAAGATTGTGCCATCCAAGACCAGGAAGCCCACTTGATCGACATCTATTCTGCACCTTAAACTATTTACTCCCTCCACCACTGTGTACCATCTACAAGATGAACTGCGCCAACATTCTAAGCCACCTTTGAAATGCTTTCCAAACTTGCAATATCCCTATTACTAGAAACAGCACATAGGAACACCATCACATGCAAATTTCATCCAAGTTGCCCAGTGTTCTGACTTGGACCTATATTTCCATTCATTCACTGTTATTGTGCATTCACCTGGAACTCCTTTCCTAACGACTTTGGGTGTATTGACGGTGGATGGATTGCAGTAGTCAAGAAGACATCTCGCACCACTTTAAAGACAATTTGGGGATGGACAACAAATTTTGGCAGTGACACTCTCGTTCACATGAAGTAAAGAACAGGTCAGAGGCTGGAAGTTTTGCAGAAAGTAACTCAGCCCAGTGCAGTCTGGCAATTGTGTGTGCAACAAACAAGATACACTACAACAGCTCACTAAAGTTCTTTGAAAATCTCAATCTTTGCCATCTGCTAATGACAAGGGCAGCAGGCTCATGGGAGTTCCATCACACTTACGTTCCTCTCCAAGTTGCACAGTATCTGATCCTGGCAGCATATCACCTTTTCTTGTTCCCCTCTGGTTCAATATCCTGAAGCTCCCCATCAAACAGCATTGTGAAAGTCCCTTTATCACAAAGACAATGGCAGTTCAAGGAAGTACATCATTATCACCTGCTCAAGTACAGTTAGGAATGTTTAATAATGGTGATGCCCACATCCTATGACCACACATAATTTTGGGGAAAAAGTGCTAAAGGGTTTTAGGCTCAGGACACTGTCTTGTAACTGAAATGGTGAGCCTCCCAACAACTTCAACATTCTTTCTTTGTGCTAGATATGACTTCAGGCAGAGGAGTGTTTTCCCCTGAGCCCTTGAATCCTATTGATTTCCAATTGCTATTTCTTTTTGATGCCAAATCGATTTCAAGGTGTTGCAACATGATCACAGACAGCCAAATCAAATCAGTCTCCCTATCTCCATATTCGCAACACAGTAAAATTAAAATTCTCAATGATCCTTCAAATTGCCCAATGGTTCCTAACTTTTTAAGCAATAAATACCAGACATTGTGAATAACTGGCACCAAGCACCAAGATTGTAGCTTAACAAAACACTTAACAGTTTATTAATATTCCAGTAGCTTTAGCAGGGCAAAGTTAAGCAACTAGGTAATCTCATTAATATCTATGATTTAAGTCCAATCCTCTTCGATTCTAGCCCCAACTCCCTCAAAGACTAACAGACAGACAGACAAACAGACACAGTTAAGAGATAAATAAATGGAATGTAACTAGCCAGTTAATTTAAACAGATCCATAACATCACAGCTGCATGGGATTGTATTTTGCTTGATTTCTGAAGACATTGATGCATGCAAATATCTTTTAGTAGGTTCTGAGGAGTATTTACTTAGTACTTATAACTGAGATGCTATCCTCCAAAGTTTCAATAAGTTGATAATGAGAGGATAACCAGGGAGCAGTGAAGCCTTTGTTCTGTAGCCTTCGCTGCCACAATCCTTCTGAGTTAAATACAGTGCAAAAACCATTTCAAGCTTTGGTTTCACTTTCTGATTTTTTTTTTCAGTATTTACCTCTTTAGACTGATTGGCATCATACTTCCCTATGAGACCCAAGTTAATATTCAAAAATCTGCCATCTGTTTGAGCAGAATGCATCTCCAGAACTAAAATATCTATAGAGTACTTTGAACAAAAATCAACCTGAAATTAACTTCAGGCCTCACCTGATAAGCAAATATCAGTTTTTTGTTCTTCTATTTTTAAAACAAGCTGAACCTCACTGTCCAAAGGCTCTCGGCTCACAGTTCACTGCTCCAAACCAAAAAGATGAAATAAAAATAAAAATAATGATGGCCTCAACAAAGGGCTGTTCTGTCCAAGTTGCTCTTGTGTAATGATGACTGGATCCAAGTTGTCTTGGCAGACTCAGTCTCTATGTTGGAAGCATAAAAGTACAGACCAGCAAAAAAGAAGTTCTGTATGCTTTTTGATCCCCTGCCACTTGATTTGGTTTCCACTGTAAGCAAATGCAGAAATTACACGACAATGAATCTTTGGCAGCAGTTTTGGAACTCTGTTGGGCAAAGATGTATGTAGAAAAGTAAGAAGCAAATCTGAGAGAGTATCTGTTTTCAACACCATTTTAAAAATTCTCTTGCCTGACTTGCGTTGATCATTTTCCAATTGAGGAGAGAATACTTTGTCAGTGTTTCCTTCACGACCAGCCAGTAGTCCACGAAGGAGGGCAGGCTGTGGACACTTGCCAAAGGTTCTGTGATATCATTAATTTGGAAAAAAAAGTCTCTGTTTGTCGGAAAACATACTCATAATAACTGACAGAGTAAGGGCTGGTTTTCTGTCCTGTGATTTCCCTCCCCTGGGTTGTTTATATCACATGCCATCTAATCGCCAAAGTTGCAAGATGAATCTATCCATCATATAACAGGCTGTCTGTGTCAGGAAGCTGTCTGAATGAACAAATTATTTTTACACTTTAAATTAACACAGAGTTCCAATTTGAAACTTTTTTTGTTTCCAATGATGAGTTTATTCCTCCAAAAAATATTGTGATTTGTATGTTGGGATGACAGTAGTAGGATATAACTGAAAAGTTAAAGCTTTGGATTATGAATTGGCTCATTTTACTGACCATTACTTTCTCTCAGCAGCTACAAACCAGATGAATGTGGTAGGAGGGATGGGAGTTCCAACCCCTGATCAATCAAACTTGATGTCTGACTCTGCTCTTCCACCTTCCCTCAGTACACCAAAGTAAGAAATTTTCATTCTTCAAAAACTTGTAGCAGCATAATTTTTGTTTTTCTGGTTTGTCATTCTGTATTGCAGTCAGCATAGAAAATATGAGCTGGATCTGCAAAGTTCCATGTTTGACTGGCCTCTGCTGTGTACTGTCCTGTGGTCTCTGATGCGTAGCCTCTGTTACCACATGCTGTTTTTTGCGCTGCCTTCTCCCTCCATTGCCACTTCCACGTGCGCACTTGCTTTGCCCTCCCCAGCCCCACATTCCCTCTTCCTCTTCCCCCACCTCTATAATCGTTCTGCCTCTCCTCCCCACATTCTCTGGCACCACCTCTCCTCCACACTGGCACTTGCTGTCTTGTTTTTGTCTCTTAACCCAACCCTACTCCCTCTCTTGTTTTCCCTGTCCTCAGTACTCCACAAACCCACCCCTGCACCTTGTCCCTCTCTTTACTTTCACATCCTGTCTCGCCCCCACCCCCCTCTATATTTATCTCTTTGTGCCTCTCCCCCAACCCCATCCTCTCTCTCACTCTCTCACCTCCAGCCCACGTGCCCACACTCATTCCTTTTTAAGATACTTCCTAACATTTACCATTTTGAACAAGATTTTAACCACCTGTCAAGGTAGCTGTTTGTGTAATTAATTCAATTTGTTTCATAATTACTCCTGTATCGAATAAGCTTAGTTTGTCTCCATGAATTCTTTTTGTATGAAAGGACAGGTCTTGCCCAAGTCACCTGTTGAATACAGTAATGTTATTGCTGGAAACAAATTTTCAGCGTCTTAGAATGTATCTGCATAGCTGTTTATTCATTGTTTTATCTTTTGGATTCAGATTAGTTGAACAGTTAATTTGTAATTCTTAGTTATAGAATTTTGTTTGAATTTTGGAATGCTGAACAAAATTTTCCATGTAAAAACTTCAAGACTTAACCATTCATTTCAAATGAATATCTCTATTGATCGAAATGGAGGTTGAGAGACCAATCAATATAACCTCATTGTTGAGAAACCTTTTAGAGAGACGATAAAATTAGTCACTTGGACAAGTGTGGGTTAATTAAGGAAACCGGGTACATATTAGTTAAAAGCAAATTTTGTTACAGTGACTTGATTGAGGTTTTGAGATAACAGAAGATTGATGAGGGTAAAGTAGTAGTGCTGTATTTGGGCTTTCAAAGGGCATGTGATAAATTGCCACACAACAGCCTTGTCAACAAAATTGTGACACATGGAATAAAAGGGCCAGTGGTGATATGATACAAAGCTGATTGAATGACAAAAAAAAGTTTAAATAATACTTAGTAATTCAGGTGCTGTTGGCTTGTGTACTGGAGGAAAGAATACAAAGAATCAGTACCAGGACCACTAATTTTCTTGATATATATTAGAAGCTTGGCCTTTGGGTACAGGACATAATTTCAAAATTTGAAATAGTGGTAGATTCCAGGGAACATGGATAGGCTGGTGGAATGGGATAGGCTGGACACATGACACATCAAATTTAGTTAATCAAAGTTTAGTATGAAGAACATAAAGAGGCAGTATAAACTGAAGAATATAATTCTAAAGGACCTGGAGGTATACGTGCACAATTGTTGAAAGGAGCAAGGCAGGGTTAGAAGGTGGTTACAAAGGCATATGGGATTCAGGCTTTACGAATCGAGGCATACAGCACAAAAACAAGGAAGTTATGAGAACTTTAAACTCAAATGAGTATTGTGTCTAATATGTCACGGCACTTGAGACAAATTGTCAAGATTTATGAGGGTAGTTCCAGAGGTGAGGGACTTCAAATATGAGGATAGATACAAGAAGCAGGTCATGTTTTCCTTGGAGAAAGAAGGTTTAGAGGAGATTTGATAACAGCATTCAAAATCGTGGGACTGGCGAGAGCAGATAGAGACAAAGTATCTCTCATTGACAGAAGGATTCAGAAGCAATAAGACATGACTTTCAGGTGAGAGATAAAATCAAAGATGCCTGAGAGAACATTTTTCACATAGTGAGCAGTTAGGATCTGAAATGGTCTGAATGATAGCTTGATGGAAGTTGAATGTGCACTGGAAGAGGAAAAAAAATTGTAAAATGATAGTCAAAGTTCTGGAGCCTAACTGAATTTCTGTTGGAGCTGGTGCACACTGAGCAGGTTGAATGGCCTCCTGTGCTGTAACCATTCTAAGATTCTAAAGATTGAATTTTATAAACTGCAATGTCATTGAATTCCTTTTAAATAACACCTATCTCCGTACTTTCTTTAAGTCAAATGATGAGCGACGGCACAAATGTTGGTAACATTAGCACGTTGCCGACTGCAGCACCTTCCACTAGTGCTGTACGAAAACCGTGGCATGAACATGTAACTCAGGATCTACGCAATCACCTGGTTCATAAGCTGTAAGTATTAAAATTAAAAATGTTCAAGAAATCCCTTGTTCACAATACAAGTGTTCTCAATGACTGCAATACTATGACTCTAATCCTTCTCTTGCGAGTTCATCAATTTGCATGCAAATGACAGGCTTCTTTCAGAGTGGGGGCAGTTGTAAGGCTGAAGTTGTAGCCAGACTGAATTAAATAAGTAAATTTATCTGAGTAGTGTATAACATGTATGTAAAATATAAATTAAAAGTGGTTGTGTGAAAACCCTGATTTAAAATCTCCAGCAGAAACATTGTTGAGTGTTAAATACATGGCAATACAGCAACTATTTTCATGACCAATGTTCAAGTAGCATAGTCATTTATATATGGTGGAACTTTGAATATTTATAGTTGAGATGTTAAACCAATGGCCCTGGCTATCCTCAATAATAAATAAAAGCAGAAAATGCAGAAGAAACTCAGCAGTTTGGCAGCATCTGTGGAGCGAGAAGCAGAGCTAATGTTTATGCCTGATATGACTCTCCTTTTAGAACCATCTACCTTCAATCTTCAGGTTGAAAGGACAAAGAATCACATGGAACTATTTCAAGAAGTTCTCGTCAGTCTCCTAACCTATATTTACCTCTGAACCAATATCAATAAAAGATTATCTTGTGGTGGGAGATTGCTGTGTGCATATTGGCTGCTGCATTTCCTACCTTGTAATTTGAAAAGCATTTGGGAACTTGTAAAAGGTGAAATAAATATGTTTCTTTCATGGTTAAGTAGATTATTCATCTCTATGCCCTATTTTTACAGTGTGCAAGCCATATTTCCAACCCCTGACCCAGCAGCACTGAAGGATCGTCGCATGGAAAACCTTGTGGCATATGCTCGGAAAGTGGAAGGAGATATGTATGAATCTGCTAACAGCAGGGTATGTAGTCTTGTGAAAATGAACTTTGCCACTTCTTACATCAGCACAGACTCTTTATGCTGTCATTAAATGTCACGTTTTGAAATAAGAAAGAAAGCTGCATAGGCAAAAAATATGAACTCAACAGATGTACAGCTGGTCTATCAATATCAAGAAAGTGCTTAATGTTTCAGTTGGTGAATGTCAATAAAAGATTTTTGCCTGAAGCAATATTACTCATTAGATAATAAAGGGTCTGCCATAGGTTTCCAGTTTGTAAATAACATGGGGTGCCCACCTAAGGCTAAGCAATATGCTCTAATAACAAAGAGCATAGTTTTATGAAATGTATAAGCGCATTACATATAACTGGTCTGAGGACCAAGAGCTGGAGGGTCTTGTCCTTCAATTAAGTGGCCAGTACTCTGCTGTATTGAGCAGAAGTGTTTATCACAATGAGCAACATTAGTGGAATTCTCTGCTGCATTTTTGATGGGATTTGCCCACACATTCATTGGAATTGGTCATGATTGGGCTAGCCTTTGAATAGCTGACATAATTATGTTTCATTGGAATCGCGTACCTACTGGAAGTGTTGTTCAGTGTATGGTATTGAACTTCAGTTTAAAAAACAGAAAGAAGAAAGTATTATTTGAATGGTGATATGTTAGGAAGTGTGGATGCACAAAGAGATCTGGGTGTCCTTGTACACCAGTCAATGAAAGTAGATGGGCAGGTGCAACAAGCAGTTAGGAAGATAAATGGTATATTGACCTTCATTGCAAGAGGATTTGAGTTCTGAAATAGGAATGTCTTAATGAAGTCGTATACAGGCCCAGGAATATTGTGTACAGTTTTGATTTTCCTATCTAAGAAAAGATACATTTGCCATAGAGGGAGTGCACTGGAGGATCATAAGGAAGATATCAGGGATGACGGGATTGTCTGATGAGGAGAGATTGGCTTGACTTGGCCTGTATTCACTAGAGTTTAGAAGGGCATCTGATTGCAATGTTAAAATTTCGAACAGGCTGGTCAGGCTAGATTCAGGGGAGGAAGATTTCCCTGGTTGGTGGAGTCTAGAACCGGGGGCAGGGTGTGAGGTTGACCATTTAAGACTGAAATGAGGAAATATTTCTTCACTCAAAGGATAGTGAATCCATAGAATTCTCTACTACAGAAAGTTATGGTGAGTGAATATTTTCAAGAGAGATAAATTTCGACTTTTTAAAGACATCAAGGGGTATTGGAAGAAAGCGGAATTGTATTAAGTGAAATTGGGGATCAGTCATAATTCTATTGAAGGCCTGCTCCTGCTGCTGTTTCTGCAAGCCATGGTTTATTCCAGAATGATTGCTTCTGTACTGTGTCCTGAAGACTTATGTTGTTTTAATCTTTTTAAGTTTTCTTCTTGATTAAATATAGTACTGAGGAGCAAATGATTGTTCAGAACTTGTTGTATACCATGGCTAATTAGTTGCCTATGGTGAGTGGAAGTAATTCCTTCCTCCCTAAAACTATTTTAGGTTGTTTGTGTGAAAATGTGTTTGACATTTGCTTTATTTTCAACCCCCTACCCCACCCTACACATGCTGACAAAATGTACACAATTTGGCAGTAGAGAGTAAGTTAGATTCATTTTGTTAAAGGTAAGTATTTTGCAGTGCTTGGTAGAATCTTAAATTATCTTTTTTAAATCCTAAAGTTGTAACACATACAAAATTTCCCCTTTTTAAAATAACAAAACACACCGCTTGCTGCTATGTTGAATTACATGAATTAACATTCCAGTCAGTGGCAGCTATGGAAATGGGAGCATTGAAAGCTCTTGTCACTTTACTAAACATGCTTTTGAAGCATTCACAAGTGGTTTCATTTTAATTCTGATAAACAAGCATTATGAGGTTCAGAAATGTGATGAATCAATGAGCAATTGAATTCATAGTGAATGCAAAATATGAAAATTTGAAATTAAGCCAAAAACTGATTGATACACTCACCAAATCAAGAGAGCTTCAGAGTGAGCGGCATGATGGTTCGCTGGAGGTTCCTGAACTGAAAGGGGGGTTGGGGGTTGGCCTTTGAGAATATATTGAGTATTTCATAGAATTTAGGAAAATAAATGCTGATCTCATTGAAATATGCAGGGCTTCACAAGGTAGATGTTGGAAAATAGTTTCCTCTGGTTGAGTCCAGAACTAGTGGTATGGTCTTGGGTAAGAGATTGGTAATTTAGGGCTGACATAGGGAAAATCTTCACTCAAGGAAAAGTGAATCCTTGGAATTCTTTGCCCTATAAACCATGGAAGCTCAGTTGTTGGGTATTTGCAAGGTTGAAAATTTTAAAAACCAAAAGGACTGCGGATGCTGTAAATCAGGAACAAAAACAGAAGTTGCTGGAAAAGCTCAGCCGGTCTGGCAGCATCTGTGAAGAAAAAATCAGAGTTAACATTTTGGGTCCAGTTACCCTTCCTCAACTCGAGCAAGTGCAAAGTTAGACCTGGACATCCTAGTTCAGATGTAGGATTCCCACCACTGCACAAGAACCCTTCTGAAACAATTCAAGCAACTTGTCAATTACTTTAAGAGAGAAAATTATGATGTACATCTTCAGAGTACATTGTATTCAGATGGGATAATTTGTATTAATTTTAAATGATGCTAGTTCATTTAAATCTGGAATTGATGACCTTGGGTTTGGGTGTTCCAGGATTTATCAGAAATCTTGATTTTGCAGTGTGATATTTCATCAGTTTCCCCTCAAACGTTTACTTCCAATTTAAAAAAGAAACAAATGCACTTATTATTAAACACGAGATGCTGCTGAAAATCTGACATTCAGGCTGAAAATTGTGGAAGTACAAAACAAGTCAATCAATAGATGAATTACTAGAGATTGTTTAATGGAATAGTTCTGATTCAGTGTTTCCATCTGAACCAATAATCTTCCTTTTTCAGATGTTGCCTGACCTGTTGTGTATCACCACCATTTTCTTGCTTTATTCTTAATTTTGTTAAACTGGTTTTCAGTATTTAATGGATTAACCTGATTAGATCCACATACTTCTGGAGCAAGCAAAAGTCCAAAAAGCTTTGAGATGCATCAAATGCCATTAATAGGATTTTTCCATAAAATAAATGAGGCAACTCTGAGAAAGACATATTAATGTCATCTTTCCACCCGTTGGCCAATTTTCTCTTGTTTCCTCTCCATAAGGGTCTCATTTTGGGATATGATTCTACACATTCCTTGAGCTCAGGTGCTCATTCTTCCTCCATGATCTTAAACTGAATGTCAGGCTAATTGAACCCAGTGACTATCAAACCAAATTCCTAATTAGACTGATCTGCACTTTGTAGTGCAATAGTTATGCCCCTGACTCTGGGCCAGGTGGTCTGCGTTCAGGTCCCATTGTAGAACATGATGGCTATGGAAGTGTGTCATAACATCCAAACATGCTGATTAAAAATGAAAATATTTCCATCACTCCCCACATGACCAAACGACCCTGGAATTGTTGATGGTAACTGTCAAGTCTCTACAGATGTAAAAACAGAAATTGCTGAAGAAACACAGCATGTCTAGCAGTATTTGTGGAGAGAAGGCAGAGTCAGCATTTCAGTTCCAGCGACCCTCCTTCAGGTGTCTCTGAGGTGAAGTCAGCTCAGTAGAAGCCAGGAATTGAAAAAAATAACTCCCTGATATTTATGGCCTTCGACTGAAATCTTCTGGAGTTGCCTCTCATGTATCCCTGTCATATATTGATTATAAAAGAAAAATAAAGACTGAGTCTTCAGAAAATACAGTAAATCTTTGCAGAATCTTAGCTTTATTTTGCATGTTATGTGTTGTTCTCAATAAAGGGCATCTTATCATTTTTGAAAATTTGATACTGTGGAGGGAAGCAATAAAAGAGTATTGGGATTGCCACTGTTTATTAGATGCTCTGAATTGTTTCTCTATAAGTGAGATGCGCACAAATAATGTGCAGTTATGTTAGAGACCACAGGTGCTGTACTCTATTTTTTAACATTTTATTCATCTTGTTAAAATGAAACTGGTAATTTAAGATGGTGGTTTTAGCGTATTAGATTTTTTCTCGTAGAATTCCCAGTTCTGTACTTAAGTTTAAGCTTTTGGTATGCATGAATATGGTGGTCATTACTAAATGATATATCTGAGGTGATGATGCAGAATGGCGAACAGTATTTGCATATGGCTAGTAGTTGGGTATTTCTGTTCTGGAATGACACAAAGCTGTACAATGCTTTTGAATATCAAAGCATATGTTTAAAAAGTATAATAGCAGAAGTGCAATATCTGAAATGAGATTCTCTGCATTTGGAAATTTGTGTACCACTAGCCATGATTTTTTGAATGTTTGAATATCAACAGGCAGAAAATCATAAATTGAATTGCACTGTTTCTCCATTTACACATGACCAGAAAATTGCCTAAGGCTTCCAAGCTAAATATGCTGATCAGTTTGCATTTTGTAGAAATGCTATACTTAAGAAAACTTGTGACTTTTTATTAAATTAACATGAGATTAACAGTCATTGTATTTTCAATTCGCCCATCAATCAAGTTTCCCATATCCCCTAATCGGAAATCAAATCAAATGTTGATCTTGATAAACAGCTAGCTGATGGTCTGTTTTGCAGTGTATTGAGGAAAAGGTGCATTGTGTTTGATGCCTATTAATTTATTTCCACCTTATCTTGTCCCTTAACTTGTATAAAATTGAACAGATTGGTAGTGTACTAACTAAAAAATTATACCCTAAGCAAAAAGAGTAGCTAGAATATAAATTAATAACTGGTAGAAGCATACATTAAGTCTTGATGTTCTATTGCCTTCATTTAGGATGAATACTATCACCTACTAGCAGAGAAGATTTACAAGATTCAGAAAGAGCTTGAGGAGAAAAGGCGATCTCGTCTTCAAAAACAGCAGCAGGGAATGTTGCCAAACCAGGGAACCTTGACAGGTCCAGGTGGCCAGCCACCTGGCATGTCACAGGCACCAGGCATGGCTCAAGTCCAGCCTGTCCGACCACCTAGTAAGTATATTCCTGCTTGATGAACAAATGGTAATATCTCACTTAAAAGGAACGTTAGAGTTCATAAAACACACACTTCAAAAGCCAGCTGTCTGATTCGGATCTGCTAGCACTTCCACCACAAGAGTCAAAAATTTGTGGTTTTAAGCTCTGCTCCAGAACTTGAGTATGTAGTTTGGGCTGAAACATTGATACAGTAGTGAGGGAATGCTGCATTGTCAGCAGTGTCATTTTTCAGATGAGACTTTGAACAGACCTTAGTTGCCTAACAGGTGGATATAAACAATTCCTTAGCACTATTTGAAGAGGATTGTGGTGATCCTGCAGATGTCAGAGTGGTTCATGTGTGGAATGAACTTCTAGAGGAAGTGGTAGATACAGTTTGGATACAGTTACAATGTTTAAAAGACATTAGGTAAGTATGTGAATAGGAAAGGTTTGGAGGGATATGGGCCAAGCGCGGGCAGGTGGGACTAATTTAGTTTGGGATTATGGTCGGCATGATTGGACCGAAGGGTCTGTTTCCATGCTATATGACTCTATGACTGTATGTCCTGACCAAATTTCGTCATCAGCATAACAGGACCAGGAGAAGGCTTCATCCTTCAAGAATATTCAGCCATTCAGTTAAATTGTGGCTAATATGTATTTTAAAATCTATTTCCCCTTCTTTGCACCATTTTTCTTGACATCCTTACCAAGAGAAAGTTTTGCTTCCACTTGAAAATTGCAGTGAATCCATTAGTCTTTTGGGAAGACAGCTTCATGTTTTTATTGCTTTTATGAGGAAAAACAAGATCCTAATTACACTCCTTAATGCTGAACTCTTAAGATTGTGCACCCTTGATTTTGTTATTGCTGTTTGTAGGATCTCACTGTGTGCAAATTAGTGCTATAATTTCTACACATCAAAAATACTTTATTGGCTGTAAAGCACTTTCTTTCTCTGTTGATGTAACATTCTTGTTATCCGAGGCTTGCATATCATTGATTGTACCATCTCTGTGGAGCATGGCAAGAGCCAGACCCCAAAAACTACCTCAGCCAGTCTTGATGTTATTTTGTACCACACTTCAGCCATCTAGCCAGTTGAGCTAACTGACCCCTTTGGGACATTCTAAAATTGTGAAAGGTGCTGTAGAAATGGAATGTGGCTGTACTTTGTCAAAAGCTATATTTGTATCTACGATTAGGTTTTTTTTAAAAATATTTTCTCCAGTCTTCATTTCGGGATTTTCCTACAAATTTTCCTAAATTCTCAATGATCTCTAATTTAATTGATTTGAAGTTTCCTTGTTTTTTCTATAGTTTGTTTACTCATCCTCTTTTTTTTTCTGATGTGGCAATTTAAATGCAGATTCAGAATTATAAATTGTGTTTTCATAAGGTATTGTACTGAGTTTAAGTATGTGTAATTTCCTTCAGCTAATAGTGGGCCCTTCATTCCCTTAAATAACTGTAAAAGTGTACTATTGGTCAATCAAAGGATTTGAAAGATAATTTGAAAATCAAATGGAAGACATCATAGATGCTGTAGTAGATGACCAAAACAAGTAGGAATAGAAACAGGCTATTCAGCCCATTGAATCCGCTCCACCATGCACTGAGATCATGGCTGATCTTATTATCCTCAACTCTACTTTTCCCCATAACCCTCAATTCGCTGACTGATTTAAAAATCTATCTCAGCTTTGAATATACTTAACGATCCAACTTCGACAGCCCTCTGCAGTAAGCAATTACACAAATTCACTTTTGTCTGAGAGACAGAATTCTTCATTTGTTTTAAATGTGCAACTCCTTATTCTGAGATTACACCCTCTCATCCTAAACTCTCCTACTAGGGGAAGCAACCTTTCTGTATCAAACTTATCAAGTTCCCTAAGAAGCTTACATGTTTTAATAAGGTTGCCTTAACTCCAGTGAGGCCCAAACTTCTCAACCTCTCCTCATAGGACAGTCTCTCCAATACCAGAATCAGCCTAGTCAACCTTCTCTGGACTGCCTCCAATGCCACTTTATTATTATTCGGGTAAGGGGCTCAAAACTGTTTACAGTATTTCAGCTGTGGTCTGACTCGTGTCTTGTCTGGTTTTAGCAAAACCTCCCTGCTGTTATACTCCATTCCATTTGAAATAAAGGCCAGGATTCCATTTGCCTTCCCTATTGCCTGTTGAACTTGTGTGCTAGCTTTTTGAGATTTACGCACAAGGACTCCTGAATCCCTCTGTGCTGTAGTATTCAGCTCCTCATTTTTCCTGCCAAAGTGTATAATCTCTCATTTCCTGACATTATAACCCATCTACCAAATTTTTGCCCACTCACTTAACCTACCTCTATCTCTCTGCAGACTTTTTCTGTCATTCTCCTCACTTGCCTTTGTACCTAGTTTTGTGTCATCTGCAAACTTGGCTAGAGTACATTCACTTTCCTCTGCAAGTTATTAGCATATATTGTAAATAATTGTGACCTGTGGCACTCCACTGGTCACTGGTTGCCTTCCTGAAAATGGCCCCCTTATTCCAACTCTCTGCCTCCTTTTAGTTAGCCAATTCTTTGTCCATATTTATATACTACTTCTAACACTATAAGCTCTTAGCTTATTAAGTAGCCTAGTGTGTGGTATCTTATCCATCACACTCTGAAATTTCAAATATGTTACATCTACTGCTTCCTCTTTATCTATCCTGGTTGTTACTTCCTTAACAAATTCTAATACATTTGTCAAGTATGTTTTCCCCTTCTTAAAGCTACGACTAAAGCTTTACCATATTCTGTATTTCCAAATGTTCTGCTATTACATCCTTTCTAATGGACTCAAATATGTTCCCGCTAATGGACATTAAGCTGACTGGCTTACCTGTGTTTTGTTGCCTTTCCATTTTAGACAAAAGTTGGCTGTTTACCAGTCCTCTGGAACTTTTCCAGAATCTATGGATTCTTGGAAGATTACAGCCAGCCCATTCACTATCTCTGAAGCTGCTACTTTTAATATCCTGGGATGCACACCATTAGGTCCAGGGGACTTATTGGGCTTTAGCTCCATTAGTTTTCCTAGCATTTTAAGTGATAGTTGTGTTTATTACCTTTCCTCCTTTTGCTCCCTGATTATTTGGTAATTTTGGAATACAATTAGTGTCTTCTGCTGTGGAGATTGATGCCAAGTAGTTCAACTACCTTTCCTGGGTCCCCATTATTTAGCCAGCTTCATTCTCTAAAGGGCTATGTTAATTTTTTGATTTCTCCATTTTTCTTACATGCTTATTTATTTAAAGAACTTGTTGCTGTCTGGCTTGATATTACTTGAAAGTTTATCCTCAAAGGGTATCTTAGCTTCTCTCTTTTTCTTGGTTTTTATTTTAACCCGTTCACAATCTTCTGATTTTACCACTGATCTTTGATACGTTGTATGTTTTTGTCTTACAATTTGAAAATGAACTATTTTTCTAATCAACCTGTTCAGAGATTTATTATGCACCTGAGGGGCAACTTTTTCATGCAGAGGGTGCATGTATGGGATGAGCTGCCAGAGGAAGTTGTGGACACTGGTAAAATTATGACATTTACAAAGCATCTTGATGGCAACATGAATAGGAAGGATTTAGAGGGAAATGGGACAAATGCTGGCTAATGGGCCTAGATCAGTTTAGGATATCTTGTCAGCATGGATGAGTTGGACCGAAGGGTCCATTGTGTGATGTAAAACTCTATGACCTTTTGGAGCAGGTGGGATTTGGGGTGGCACAGTGGCTCAGTGGTTAGCACTGCTGCCTCACAGCGCCAGGAACCCGGGTTCGATTCCACCCTCGGGCAACTGTATATGTGGAGTTTGCACGTTCTCCCTGTGTCTGCGTGGGTTTCCTCTGGGTGCTCCGGTTTCCTCCCACAGTCCAAAGATGTGCAGGTTAGGTGGATTGGCCATGCTAAATTGCCCATAGTGCTGAGGGATGTGTAGATTAGGTGGGTTATAGGGAGATGGGTCTAGGTGGGTTGCTCTGAGGGTCGGTGTGGACATGTTGGACTGAAGGGCCTGTTTCCGCACTGTAGGGATTCTATGATCTATGAACCCTGGCCTCCCAGTACAGGGGTAAGGACTGTAACAATGTGCCAAGAGGGCCGTTGTCTTACAGTTTGATGCCATCTTTAACTTGCCTTGTTAACAATGATTGGCTTGTCCACTTCAGAGAATCCTCCTTTCTCAGTTGGATAGATCTTTGCTGTGAGCTACAACTATTTTCTTAAATGCTTGCTGTTGTTCCTCAGCCTTTGTTTAGTCTTTGCTGGCTAGCTGTGCCCTCATTCTCTTTTGAGCCATGTTCCCTCCCTCTCAAACTGAATGCTAAATTCTACCACATTCTGGTCACTGTTTCTGAGGGGATCTTTTACTCTGATATCATTTGTTAAACCTGCTCCATTATCCACCACCATTATCCAAAATTGTATGATCCCTGATTCTATTATTTTAGGAGACTGTCTTGAACGCACTGTTGAATTCTTCCTTGTGAATACCACTGCCAATCTAGCTATCCCTGTCTGTATGATGATTAAAGTCACCCATAATTAATGTACTACCTTTTTTACATGTCCTCATTTATTCTCTGTTCTACTGAATAATTACCATTAGAGTGCCTATAGACTACTGCCAGTTTCCTGTTTCTAATGTTATTTCTTATCTCCATTAGACCACAAGAAATGGGAGCAGAATTAGACCACTCAGTCCATCAAGTCTGCTCCGTCATTCGATTATGGCCATTGTATTTCTCAACCCCATTCTCCTGCTTCTCCCCGTAACCCTTTATCCCGTTACTAATCAAGAACCTATCTATAAAAACTGAAAGAACCACGGATGCTGGAAATCAGAACAAAAACATAAATTGCTGAAAAAGCTGTACAGGCCTGGCAGCATCTGCAGGGAGCAATCGAGAGTTAAAATTTCAGGCCCAGTGACTCTTCTGCAGAATGGATGGCAGCTAGAAAAATGTACGTGTTTATTCAGAAGA